TGCCCGAAAAAAGGTGGCCCTGAAAGAAGGGGAAACAGACCTGAAGACCAGGTGAGCTATGTCACCCATGGCTTCTGAACACCCCCTTGTGGATCGTGCCATCTACGGTATTTGTGTGTGGTTGCGTCAAGCTCAACGTGCCAAAATAGACTTCGGAGGCGCCGGGAAAATCCGACGCAACGTTTCCACTGCAAAGATTTGTTCCGACGGCAACAGTCTGGCTTCTCCCGATACTCATCCTGGGTTCCCCCCCTGCCCCCAAAGGAGAAGGGCCCCAGAACGTGCAAGCCACTGGCCCCGGATTTCCACCCCCAAAAAGAAACGGACCTTGGGACCAACTTCTCTTCGCAAACGTCATCAAACTCCATTTGGCCCAGAAAAAGAAAACTGACCTGGGGACTCGGGACCAGCTTCCATTTACTGGATCAAGCTCCATTGAACGGCCCATTCAACGGGCATTTTCCCCCCATCGGCCTGGATCACAAGCAAAGCCAGGGATCCTCCTGACCTGCGACTCGGAAGCTTGACGCAGCCCTGGGAAGACCGGGAGTCTCCAAACGGAGCCCGCAGGTCGGTGGAGTTTTAGGGGAAAGCGAAAGTTGGGTCCACACCCATGGGGGGACCAATTTGAGAAGCACCCAGAGGGATGTGGAACTATGAAAATGCCGAATAGGCTGCCCGGAAATTGCCGGGCCTGCTGCTGGGAAATCAAAAGGAACCCACCCTCTCAAATGCTTGGCAGAAATCCCCCAGTGAAACGCACCCAAAAAGATTCGCGCTGTATTCAAATGGGGCATCTTGTCCTAGGGAAATCCATGGGTTCGCCTTGCTTTGGTGGAAAATCCCAGTCGCGATGGAAAGCGACAGCCCTTCTCAGCCTCCAAAGTCTTCCAATCAACTCCAAGCTGGGTTGGTTGTGTAGTGGTTCGGGGGATACCTTCGTTTTCGGCTTCAAGAGGAAGTTCCAAGCCAATCCCGTTGCCAGGTACCAGGCCCCCAAAGGTCCCATGTGCTCCGCAAAAACGTCACCCCAATGCCCTGAACCTGATGAGGTCAGGCCTGCTGGGCTAAGAAAGGCCCCTATTCAAGGTCTTGGGATCCTGGGCAAGTAGGAAACACCGTGTCTCGACCCAAAACTGAGTCCGCGGCGGGCATCATGGCGATGTCCACCTAAGCTTCGAATCCTTCTGCTGTGGATTCTACCGCAAAATCCACCAACCGTAATCCGGAAGTGAAGATCAAGGATCTTCATCTGGGTGCTGCATGTGAGCTAACGTCCACTATTCACCCATGTCCTCGTGGAAAGAACGGGGCTTCGTTTACCCCAAGTCGGCTTCTCTGAAGACGAGGGCTGACATCCAATGTGGAGGCATGAGCTCAGTTGCGTGCAAGTGTTTATCAAAAAGGCAGAACGGAACGGAGAAGGGGACGCCTTACCAAACTTTCTCTTCCCCTTGAGCAAAGGGTCTCACCTTTTGTACGACTGAAAAAGGGAAAACCATTTGTTTCCAGGAGATCTCTTGCGGGGCCTTTGGGGTCACAAACACGTTGAAGGGGCTTGAAAGGGGCCCTGATTAGCCGGCCAAAACTCTTTCCACGAAAACATCCCCACCCGGCAGGAATCGGAATCATCACGAATAGATCATTAGCAATCGGACATCGGAGGACAGTGATCCGGTGCAAAACTCAAAAGCATCAGTGAACTATATGGGCCTGTCTTTTTAATGGCCTCCTGTGGCACGTAGAACGAATTTCTACCCTAGCGAACAAAAACCTTGGCACGAATGTCATAACTGTCATATTGGAGCTTCCAATGCGGGTGTGATGGAACCAAAAACTGGTCCAAGCCGCAGGCTCGGCCGGGTTTGTGCGGGGAATCTGGGCCTCCACGAACTTTCAAAGTCAGACGAACCGCAAGTCAAGTCTACCGGACACAAGGGCAAGCTGCAGGTGAATGATAGTTTTAACAGGTGACAGCAGGCGAAAGACTTGGAAATGAATTCCACGGCTCTTTTGTGCTGCGTGGGATGCGTGAGCCAGTGGTATCAATCCTCCGTCCATGCGCGAATGTGTGTCTTGATCCAAGTGTCTTGGTGAATCAATTCGTGTCGCTTTTTTAGGGGAACCTTCAACCCCATCCAAAAACAGGGCACCCCAAAAAACAACCCCACATGCCAAATCCGACAAAATACTCCCCAAGCAATCGAACTCATCCCGCGGCTTTGTCTGCAGTCACAAGCGAAAAAGAAAAACCGAATCCAAGGCATCGGCTTTCTGCGCGCCCTCGCCACGATAGACCTCAAGACGTTCGGGTTCTATTTGACACGTGTTTTCTCCGAAGCCAATGTGGAACCCATGTGCTGAAAAATGGAACCGCCTGGTTGTACTGAGCCGCTAAGGAACCCCATTTTCACGAACCTCGGTTGGTCCCACCCGCACGTTTTATTCCTCAGGCAGTGCCCTTGAGCTTCTTCATGTGCTAGGTCAAACCCAAAATGGGGGCTTCCTCTTTCGTTTTGGTCTGCCTCCAGCACCACAATTAACCCAGCATTGCAACCCAACAGCTGCACCATAACCCAGCCAAGCAAGCTGCCACCTTTTCTTTGTAGCCGCTGTAGATACAAGGGACTTATATTCCTGTAACTACTGTAGCCACAATTGTCATTTTCTTGTCGCTGCTGTAGTTGCAGGCGACGCGCTCCCGTAGATGTAGGTTCGGGGGTTTATTTTTGTGTGGCCGCTGTCGCACTCCTGTCGCCGCTATGGCTATGGCCACAAAGGGTGCAAATTGATTGTAGCCGCTAGCTCAGGGGGTAGACTCTGTAGCTTCTGTAGCTGCAGCAGACTCATAGTTCCGTAGCCGCAGCTAGAAAAGATTCCTGCAGCTAGGGATTTGTATTCCTGTGGCCGCTAGCGCTTGCAATGCGCCGGGCCGGTGAAGCCGCCAGCTAAGAGCGGAAAAGTTGCATAGGTCCAAAGGCCAGCGGAAACGCATGTTCTTTGCGGGGCCGGGGCAAGAACTTTGTCGAAATATGTTCAGAGCTTCTGTGAACATCATTTCCCAATTTCTCAATGTGCAGACGCGGCAAAATCCTTTCCTTAAAAACCAGAATCTCTGTCCCTCCCTCCGGCCAGGCAACGCGGCCGAACTAGTGACAGTAACGCCGGGCAGAAGAGAACACCAAGACAGTGTCTTTTGGACAAGATTCTCTCGTTTTCCCAGTGCAAACATCTAGTTCCATCCCTTCTGGCCTTGCGGATCAACGAGCCAGCCACAGCGCTACACATGTAGAAATTCACAAGATGCTGTCCCATACATCCATCAGTAAATGCTCCACGACACTGGGTGTCTCCCGGAAATTGCGAACAATGTGTTGTATTGCGCAACAATTGCTCTCCCTTTGATTTGTTTTCTCCAACGCTCGCTACACTCCAGCGGCTCGTCGATGTTTACAACCCGTAACCCACCTGGAACCCCCCCTCCTCCCACCTGCTCCGGATTGCGTACCCGGTCCGGATCGCGCACCCGCCCAACCAACCCTTGCATCAAAATCTATCAAAAAAGACAGCGCCACTCAACCCCGCCAGACAGATTACCAACAATAAATGTGCCCCTTGAAAACTGAGGGGCACCACACGCTTAGTGGCGCTTTAGTCGGTTTCTCTCCTCCCGTCCGAGCACTCCGCCCGGGTTTTCACGTTGGTTTGCCGGAGCTCCTCGAAATCGAAACGGGGGTCGAATCGAAGCCCAAGCGCTTGCGCGTGGGGTCAATTGGCGGGTGAAAAATTGGCATCTGAAATGGGTTGCCCTGGTAAATGTAAACATGGACTGAAACCTGTCCACAGCCCGGTTAATTTTGACCCATAACCAATTTAAAGCAGACTGTCTTGTTGTTCAGGGTCTCTCCCCCCTTTGTTTTGTTTGGTGGACCCTACAACTAATACCCTAGATATTGCAAGGGTTCCCGCCGTTGTTTGCGGGTGCAGGGCGTCCTGTTCTTTTTTGGGGCTGGTGGGTGCTCCTCCAAAGCCAAACGAGAACACACACACACACACACCATGTGTTTTTGTTGGATCACCAATTTACAGAAATCCCCGGATTGGACAAGCAGCTCCGTTGCTTCTCCTTCTGGCGGGTTCAAGCGGGAACTGGACACCGTCGCAATTTCCGCGGTTGGGGCTTGTTTCCTGGAAACTTCGCGGATGGATCTGGTTGGGGCTTGCAATGCAGGGGCCAATTGCTTGGGAGCTCAATCCCAAAGCCATCAATCCACTTGGGCGAAGTTGTTGAGGGATCTGACGCAGATGGATCTCATCTGCAAAAAGTGGGCAGATGGGTTTGCTTCCGGGGCCAATTCAGGATGGGGTTTCAGGTTTAGGCCTCGAATTTAGGCTGGAGCTTCTGATTGCATTTGGAATTCCAACGGGACCTGTGCAAGACAACCCTGAAGAAGATCTGAGTCATGACCAAAGCCTGGCATTTAAGAAACGTCTACCCAAAACCAACCAAAGAATGGCAAGGGCGGAAATCCGCTGCCATTTCACTATCCCTTTCTAACCTTCACTTATGGTTTTGTGGTGGCTCTGACGATCGGTGTAGAAACGATCCGAGTTGTCGGCACGATACATCGCGGTTGGCTAGAAGGAAGTGGAAACCAGAAACGAAACTCAACTGCCTCATGAAGGGGCCATTGAGACATGCTGCAGCTTTCAGATATACGTACCATGCTCAAAGTCAAGACCGGTACCCAAACAAAAACGGGTGGGTATTTCCTGCTGGTTTCCCCATAGAACCAACCAAAACAGGGCTTTCCTAAACTTCAAGGTTTCTTGCAAGGGCTTTTCCGACCAAAGATCCAGGGGCTTCCAACCCTGGGCTTCGTTTCCCCCACCCCAAAAAAATAGAGAAGACAAAAAGCCACCAGACAGCACAGCCGAAGCCGTCACCTCGTAGTAAACGCAAAGACCTCACCTCCTCGGCGGAACTGCTCATAGAATCGTCACCTCGGCGCGAGTCCGACTCCAACCCATATTTTGGTTGGTTTAAGTACAACCAGCTGGTAGAAAGAACAACGGGAACGAACTGACAGATGTCGGAATAGAATCTTGAACAACGTGTCTTTAACGTCTTGCTATTTGCATTGTGAGCTAAAAAATCAGGGGAGAGCCTCGGGGTTTATTAGCAGTACACCAGGCCAAACGGCCGCAAGGGCAAGGAGACGTCTAGTTTTGGGATGCCACTTATCACCGGCCGGCCCCGAAAGCAACTTCAACCACGAGGTTTTAATGGGAAAATTAGCTTTAACCCACTCCAGTTTGCAGATCTCTCTCTCTCTCTCTCTCTCTATCTGTCTACATATAAATATACAGGGTATTGTTGCAGTAAGGGTACAGCGTCTGCATCTATCTGTACGTGTTTGAGGAAATCTCTACTCCATTTGTATCTACATCTATACGTGTATATACAAAATTGAACACACATATCTATCATATTCTTCACGTGTTTGTCTGAGAACTCGCAGCCTTTTTCGACTCGGCCGACTCGGTCGACGTCCACGTCGACGTCCGACTCGGGTCGCTGGGCGCGGGGCTGTCGCACTCGCAAAGCTCCACGGCATCGCCGCAGGCCTCCGGGAGCACCGCGCACCGCTCGCCTCGGGCTCGACTCGTCGCGTCGACGCGTCGGCTCGGCGTGGGGGTGGCGGGTCGTTGGGTGGAGATCCGAAACGGAACCGCCCCCAAACGGGTGGCAGGGGATGGTGGGTTTCTTTGGACGGGTGGATGGTTTTGCTGGGGCCGTTGGGCGGTTCTCTGAAAATCGATTTCGGAGCCGTGGGTGGTGGCTAAAGGAAACTCAAAGGGAAGCTACCCGTGTTTCTGATCCCCTGTTAATTTGGAGTGTGTCTCATATGAGCGTTGTCCCAAAAGAAAAGGGATGCCCTTCTTTTGTTCAAAGGGATCCTTTTACGGCCCCATGGAGGCAGCCAACCATCGTCCTTTTGTGTTTAAAGGGTGGTTACCCGCTTGACAGGCTGGAACCACTGGGAAGTTCAACAAAGCACCAGTCCCGAATTTCGAGCCCGTTCATTTGATAACCCATTCAAGTTCCCTCAATATTGTTTTATTACGCGTCCCCCCAAACAAAACTGAATTACAATAACGTGCGGGTGTGAGTTCGGTCCAGCACTTTCTAAGCCAGGCGCTGGTCGCGATCCTCACGAGTCATGCTGGCTGAAGGGGGACTGGGTCCACACGTGCAAGAATCGCTTCACCCGTCGTGCTTGTTGAGGTCGGTCGAAACACAATGCCTGTTCCATCAGGATTTAAAACTGGGATCCCCCCCCGTATATAAACCCTCCAACCGGATGATTTCCCTTCTAGAAACAATCTCCGCAAAACTCGTTGTTCCACTCCCCTGGTTGGGGTGGTTTTTTTTGACTAGCCCTGGTTTTTGGCTAACCCTGGTTCCAGGCACTGGCACTATGGGCAAAGTTTTACTCTGCGTCTTTGGCTCTTTCCTTTGCGACAAACAGTTAAAAAAAACAGAGCAGGGGGGTTGCGGCAGCCCCCCCCATAATGGTTGCAGTAGTGATGATTCGAACAGGGGTGCAATTAAATCCCTGCAAAAAGTCTAAAAAGTAGCGGGGGGTTGGGGGGGCGGCAGCCCCCTCCATGATGTTCGAAGAATTGATGATTCAACTTGGGGTGCAATCTATTAATTCTCTGTAGAAAATCTAAAACGTAGCGGGGGGGTTGGGGGGGGCGGCAGCCCCCCCCATGATGTTGGAAGAAGTGATGATTAGACATACATGGACTACACAGATTACCTAAAATGTCGTATTTTGCAGCATTCCGCGAAATTGGACGCTCGAAAAAGTGATGATTCAAACAGGGGTGCAATTCAATCTCTGCCGGGCCAGTAAAGTGTCGCGAAATTGACGCATTTTACACTAGCCCGTCAACATCCCCCGCATGTCCGACCAACATCCCTAGCATCACCAACAAATCGTGTGACGGGGTCAAAGAAATGATGATTCAAGTAGGAGGGCATGTCAATCCCTATTAAACTAATGAATAAAATTAGCGGGGGGTTGGGGGGGGCGGCAGCCCCCCCCATGATGTTGTTTGCAGAAGTGATGATTTGAATAGGGGTGCAATTAAATCTCTGCAAAAAAACCAAAAATAGCGGGGGGGTTGGGGGGGGCGGCAGCCCCCCCCATGATGTTCGAAGAATTGATGATTCAACTAGGGGTGCAACTAATTAAATCTCTGCAGAAAATCTAAAACGTAGCGGGGGGGTTGGGGGGGGCGGCAGCCCCCCCCATGATGTCAGAAAAACGCCACCTGCCGAAGAGGAACTGGGAATGCAGAGGATGCGAAAAGCCAAAAAGCCACCAAAAGCTGCATAAACCAGCAAAAAGCCGAAAAGCCTAGAAGCCCAGAAGCCGAGAAGCCAAGAAGCCGAGCCAAGAAGCCAAGAAGCCAAGAAGCCAAGAAGCCAAGAAGCCCAGAAGCCCAGAAGCCCAGAAGCCGAGAAGCCAAGAAGCCGAAAAGCCAAGAAGCCAAGAAGCCGAGAAGCCAAGAAGCCGAGAAGCCAAGAAGCCAAGAAGCCAGGAAGCCAGGAAGCCAAGAAGCCAAGAAGCCAAGAAGCCAAGAAGCCAAGAAGCCAAGAAGCCAAAAGCGAAAAAAACAAAAAACATCCTAAAATAAATACCCCTCCTCCTTTTTCTGACCCCCACGCCCCCTCTGCCCTGGAACCAACCCCCAGCCAACGAACCACCCAACCACCCAACCAACCACCCAACCAACCAACCAACCAACCAACCAACCAAACCCGCTCACCCAGCCAACCAGCCGACCAGCCCCGCTCACCCAGCCAACCAGCCGACCAGCCCCGCTCACCCAGCCAACCAGCCGACCAGCCGACCAGCCCAGCCAACCAACCAACCAACCAGCCAACCAGCCAGCCAGCCAACCAACCAACCAACCAACCAACCCAACCAACCCCACCAACCCAACCAACCCAACCAACCCAACCAACCCACCAACCAACCAACCAACCAACCAACCAACCAACCAACCAACCAACCAACCCAACCAACCCAACCAACCAACCAACCAACCAGCCAACCAACCAAACCCGCTCACCCAGCCAACCAGCCGACCAGCCCCTCTCACCCAGCCAACCAGCCGACCAGCCCCGCTCACCAGCCAGCCAACCAACCAACCAACCAACCAACCAACCCAACCAACCCAACCAACCCAACCAACCCAACCAACCCAACCAACCCACCCACCAACCAACCAACCAACCAACCAACCAACCCAACCAACCAACCAACCAACCAGGGTTGGGGCCAACCAGGGTTGGGGCCAACCAGGGCTAAGCAAAAAAAAACACACGACCCCCACTCCCCTCGCCCAAAAAAAACAGATAAAAAGACGAGACCTCCACACCAAAAAACAAACCAGTACTCCCCCCTTCCCCCCAACCCACCTCACCGCAGCTCCCCTTCCCCCCGTCTCTCACCCCGCTCGCTCGCAGCTCGCTCGCGGGTCCTGAGCCCAAACCTGGCCGCCCAAATCCCCAGCAGCAGCAACGCCAGGCAGGCCACCTCGCCCGACGCCCGGCTTTGGGGGTTTCAGCACAGGGTCCAGCCCAAAGAAGTGACGCTGGCGCGATAGGTCCGATAGGGCATGAGATTCTTCCGGGGGATTGAAGTTGGTGCCTTTGAAGAAACCAAATTGTGGCATGACCCTTCCGGCTCCGGGTTGGAAGTTGGTCCCACAACAAATGCTTCGGGGAATGGTTTGTCTCGGGGTCCTTCCCTTCCCTGAGCAGCAGAGAGACAAAAGGGGATGACCCGTGGGGCGAAGACTTTCCAGAGGAATACATCCCTAAATTTCTGGGCTGGCCGGGCGCTGCAGCCCACCGTTGCGGGCAAGAGGTAGTACCGTGCCACCTCAGCATCTGCATGTCTATGGAGGAACCTACAAAGGAATTGTGTTGTTTTTGGGCTTGCTACTTCAAAACCCACCCACGGCTTATGCTTTGGCACAAGGTGAAAGTGTCCAAGCGCTGTCTGCAAGCCAGATGCAACCTCTGAACTGCCGACTCAGCCCCCTTTCTCCCTGGTCCCTTCCGTGCGAGCCGCATAAGAGCAGTAGGCGATGTAGAAATGGTAGGCGTACGCGCAAATGCCTGCGCTGAGCCGCTCCGAAAACCTGGCGACCTACAGGTTTGCTAAGGCCCACTATCCCAAGTAAACCACACCAGCTCAAGTCGCCATGGATAGCCATTGCAAGTGAACGGCCCACATCGAAGCACAAAATCCTCTCTCGAAAAGATCCGCTGGAAGCTGCCCCCATTGAGACCGGCACAAGTCCCTCGATTTGGGGACTTGGACCAGTTCCGCCGCGCCACCATCCTCTCGTGTGTGAGCGGCACTGGACATCCCAAACCTCTCGTACCAAGCAAACATAAGGGGCCATCCGATGACCCGCGTCTCACCTGCGATGACGGCCAGAAAGAAGGCGGCCCAGCCGGAGATCAGGGCCAGCAACCTATGCGCTGCGGTTTCTTTCTTTGGCTCTCCGAGTCTCGAGCTGATTGGCCAAAAGCTGTCCATGTACTACTGTCAATGGACGAAATCCATTTCGCACCACCGTTCAGAAACCCTAGAATGATATGATCCCCTGTAAATACCAGAATGGTTTCCGATGGTGTCTTAGGTGGTGCGAAATGGATTGTGTCCATCCACAGTATTGTTTGACACTACCAAAGTAGAAAGAGTTGAAGTGTTCAAACAGCTCTTTGCAGCTTTACTTTGTTCCCAATTGCCTTTGTCCCAGTTCCAAAAAAGGGCCACCAGGCCCAACAAGCCAAGTCCAGGAACTGACGCGAGTTTGAGCCCCTCGGGCTTCAGCTGAAGCCATCCTTTCCGGGTCCGGTCCTTCCGTGGCGGGTTCGCTTTGAACTCCAAAAGGACGCGGACGGGTCGTTTTGGGTTCAGGGAATGTTGAGACAGACCCGGCTCCCATTTGTGACAAACTCTATGGATGGGGTGTCTTTTTGCGGGGAAGCCCCGTGTTGGTGTTAAGTTCGGACCCAGATCCCATTTGCCACAAACCCAGATCGGCGGGGCGTCTTTTTTCTGGGGAAGTTTCCCGTGTTGGTTGGTGTTCAGTTCGGAAAATAAGAAACGAAGACATTCCTTGTTTTCCGAACTGAAGCCATCCAAAAAGGGATAGTCGGGCAAAATCAGCTGAAAAGCCAAAGCAATGGTTGTCTGAAGACCGAAGCCAGCGCAGGGGCCGCAAGACTGCCGACACTCGAGCCCCCGCGCGTGGATTTGCGGGGCCGCGGCCTGCCGATCCTGGCTGAGCAGCTCGGGTGGTGGCGTCAAAATTCTGAGTTGGCACCCAGGTGTCAGAGAAAAACCGCCCCAAAGGCTATGTGCCGTTTTCTTGTGGGGTGTAACCCAATTTTTGTGAGTTGTTGCTCCAAAAAACGTCGACATGGGGTCGTGTTGGTTTTTTGGGGTGCACCCCTTCTTGGAGTTTTTGCTGTGAAGGGAAACCAAAAGGACCGAAATCCATTTCTGAGGTCCCCCTATACCCATCTTGTCTCGGAAGTAGGATTCAGGCCCCCCAGCCCATATCTGCGGTTCACAGAAAATGATATGTTCAAAGAGTATATACTTCATATTCAAGTGTTGGTTTGGAGACTCCAGCTTGCCTCTCGTCTGACACCGTTACCTCCGGAGGGCCCTGGAAACACGGGACGGGGGACGGGGAAGTAGTTGGGGAGGCTTTGGATCCCCCTCACTTTTGTAATGTGGGCTTTTGGGGATGTCTTCTACCCTGGGGCAGAGTTCCTAAACCCATGCCAAAACGACCCCTTTTGAGGTGATGTGTTAATCACCAAACACGGATATGTAAGGCACCCCTGAAAGGGTTCAGCCTTTGGGCACATGACAAATTCCCTGAAGAAACCAAGAGTGGCGACTGCGCTCCTGTTCCACACGTACCTCAGCGCGAGCACACCGAAAGAGCCACAAGCAAAGTCTAGGCCTTGAGCTGGTGGGAGATGCCAGATTCAAGTCGAGCCTGGTGGATTCCCTATCCCCTCTTGAATACAACACTTCCCGGCTCAAAATCAACCAGCGGTGCTGCTTAATCCCGGGTTCCCAATAATGCGGGAAACCATGGGTAGAGCTCTTCTGGGTGTGTCTCTAAATGGGCGACTAAGCCCACAAATGGATCAAAATGGATGGTTCCCTTTGGATCCCCAAATAACGGAAAAATACTTGAAAAAATACCTCTCCTTTCCAAATGCAGTAGTGTCCTTTCAAAACCCCAAAGGAGCCCCGAAAAAGGGGGAAAAACACAAGCGCCTGCATGGGCAGGCGCCGCCACCACACCCAACTGAGGCCGCCGCAACATCAGGACATCCACCACCACCAGTGCCACCAGGACGTACAGCGCGATATCGCCCACCTCCCTCCACCTGAGCTGCGCTAGCTGGGCTCTGCCCATCGGAATACATCAAAAGGACCATACGACTTGGAGCAAACCCCCTGGAGTCAGGGAATAACCTGTTTTGCCGGGAATCCGCTGACGAGGGTTCTGCGGATGGATTAAAAGTTTGCATCAGTTGGGTAGCCTGTATGGCTTCTAACAAATGGGCTCTCTTTGGATGCGTCGTCCTTCTGGTGCAAGCCATCAGAACTGGGAAAAACAAAAATGAGCAGCCCCCCACAACTCTTCGACTTTGGTTCTGCCAACATGGTTCTAGGTCCTTTTGCCTTACTGCCAGCCATGAAACCAGGTAGGAACCGAGCCACTTGCTAAAAAAAAAATGGCCCTGTGGGAAAATCGGTTTTGGGCGCACGAATGCACCGATCGTAGACATCAGCGCCGATCAATATCAGTAGGATTCCGGCGAGATGAAGTTGTTGGAGAAGAGCGTGGCGATCTGGAACCTGAAATTGGCTCGTGCAAGGGCGGAAAGTTTCCAGGTCGATTTTGCAACCATCTTCCTTGAGGGTATGGATGTAGGGTTCTTGGCTGCAAACTGGACATTTGTGTCCATGGCGCGCATCCCAATTAGCTCTTGGGCTGCTTCCCAGCAGATGAGGCCATGACCCCGAACTGACGCATCCACTTACAGTTTCCTTTAAAGTGGGTCCCCGCTTCCGATTCACTCCCAAAACTGCGGGAACCATTTGGTACTAAACCCACAGAGCTTGGTCTTGCTTAAAACTGCAGGCCCAGGGCGGCGGGCAAATTCTCCCGTGAGTTGGTACCCTTGGAATCTGGGAAATGGGGTTTCTAACTTGGGGTTCCTATGAGACAACCCAGCAAAAGCGAAGTGATGCGACGCTGTTGCGGCTGGTCGGTCCAGGTGCCAAAGGCAACAAACTCGGCAAGTGGCCCTTTTGAGTCGAAGGTTCTTTCTCTTTGGGGCATATTGAAATCGGAAGCCAAGCCAAGCCCATGTTGGAGGGGGGTCACGGGAAAGCTGCCTTTGTGTCAACCCTGTTTCTTCAAGCCCGCTCCGGGGTTTATATACCCCAAAGGGAAGCCACATTGCAGAAGCGCTCGCACAGCGTCACCCGCTGTTCGCAGCGCGAAAAAACGTGCAAGTGACACGAGCGACAGAAGCGGGTTGTCTGTTTGTTTTTTGTCTTTTTCTTGTCTAGGGGTCCAACAAAATAGTGGCGGTACGCCCAAAAACACTCAAGTAGGCCAAGGAGCTCAATGTAATTGTGAGCCTCGTAGACCAAGCGGTTCGGGATGTTGAATCTAATCCTTGGAAAGCTGAACGTTCGCACAGGTATTCATGTCTGGCTCACGACAGCCAGTGGATTGATTCGCATTGAAACTGAATCAAAAGATTTTTTGCACTAAGAATGATGCAGTCTGCCAAACAATAACTATTTCTACAAAGTGACCAAAAAGCAGCCTGCCTCTGCAAAACCCCAAAAAGCAACTGTCTACTTCAAGCCAAGACCCACATCCTGCCTCTGCAATGAAAACAACCAACTCCCTCAGCTCAAGCACTGAACCGGCAAAGTTCTTCCAAGCATCGGATGGCTCTTCACGGGTCGCAAGTCCATGCAGAAGCACAGCGCGCTCACCACCTGGGTGTGGTTCCAATTTTTGGAGGTTAGGGACCTAAAAAGAGGGCTGAAAGGGAAACCCAAAAGCAAACCGAAGCCCAAAACGGGGTGTTCAAACCCCTAGTTTGACGAGACATACCTATGCACCCTCCAAACATCGTCTTGAAGCCCTGTGTGCGGAGTTCCGACTCATTTTTGTTGAGACAGACCCACCTGACTGCCACACCGTGAAACCTCCTCTCAGCGCCGTTTGAAACAGCTCCGAAGCGGGGAACCTTCCGGGAAGGGGAGAGCTGTGCATGCGGGGAGGCAGTCAGGTTTCGCCGTGGCTCGACAGGGTTTCTTACGTTATCCGCCTGAACATCCTCGCCCGAAAAAGTGACACAAAGATGGCGTCCTGTTGTTGTTTTTTGGTTTTTTTGTTTTTTTCTGCTGGAAAGCGTAATTCGTCACATGGGCCAAATTGTACCTGTTTCAGGAGTTCGACTGGTATATGTCTATGCCAGGCTGCGATGAGCATGTCCGGGTTCACCGCCAGGATAGCATTGCCTGGGCGCAACTTATTGGGGACATCTCAAAATACTGGTCCCTGAACCAGATTCCACCAAAAAAACAACCTTCATATGGAGGCATCTCAAAAGCTGCCCCCCTACCCGCCGCAAGTATACACGGATAGCTTGGTGTGCTTTTTGAACAGCCATGAATTTAGATTGTAGATGGTTGGAACACCCGCCCCCATAGCTGGCTGCCCATAGCTGGCTGCATACTGCTTGTAGTGGATTCCCCTTTCAATCCATCAAAGGTGTTGATCTGGCTGTGGGTCAAAACCAATGGAATCCCATTTTGGTTGGTATTGGTGAATTCACCACCCATTTTGGGCTTCCTGTATTTTAGTGGTTGGATTGGGATGGGGGCTAACCGGGGTTTTGACCCATGGCCATCTGGTTTCGACGTCGACCCAACTCGGACCCAGCACGCCCGGCCTGCACGCTCCGCCGCCATGGCCCAGTCGGTGGCGGGATTCCCATCGCCCCAGGTCATCAAGCGCCCTGAGCCAAAAAAAGAACAGGACCCCACGGAGTTTGTTTTGTATATTTTAATGTACAATACATGCGTTCGACATAGATCATACACCCATTCTCAGATACGCCCAGAGCGAGCAAGCCGGCCAACCGCCCGCACGAGTCCCCGAGCTTTGGGGAACTCAAAAAGAGACTCGGCTCCCCTTCTCCTCCCACCCAACCCAAATCGCGTCACCAACCACCCGCAGCTGCCGCTCGCTCGCCCGCTTCGGGCGCTTCGGCCTGGGATGTCGTGGGGCTCGTTGCGAATGTCGAAGGCCACCACCAGGCTGTTGTCCCTGAAGTTGTCGAAGGCTCCAACGACGATCCGAGAGTCTGGGATTCCCATGAAAACCGTTCAAAGAAATTAAAACCTTTGGGATAATGCAAAACCAGTAGATTGGATTCCACCACGAAAAACCATTGGGTTCATATCTATTTCATGCCGCCGGAGTTTCAGACCATCCAATTTAGGGTTCCGAGAAGTTACGCCAGAGGGGTTGAACCCTAGAGGCGAACCCCATCAAGCCCGCAGATTTGTGCGGGTTTGATTTGTGGGGATTTGTGCGAGTCTCAGGCCAACCAGCTCGACCCTCAAAGCGGAGTACCTTTGGACATGAGAAAGACATCCCCAAAATGTTGGCCAAACGTGTCATTTCAGGGTCCAGGTGAGCATTTTGGCCCATGTGCTGCCAAAAAACAAACAAGCAAGGCGACGGGCCTTTGCGGCTGACTTGGGCTTCCAACCATCATGAGACTCGGACTGGAAGGTTATGAAAGACTACTTTCCTTTTGAGGCACTTCCATGATTGTTGGAAAACGGGTACCCTTTGAAAGCTGGTGAAACATGAGTTTCCTTCAAAAGTCGTTTTGCAAACCTCAGATGCAAAACCCGAATCAACCCCTGGTCTTGTAGCGGGTGGCGCGAACGGCAAACCCCCAGTCAGCCGCCCAGTTGATTCATCTGGGGTCGACACACGGTGTGCGTCCCAAAGAAAGTGAAGGTCCCCTCTCCCAAATGGGACCCTCCCGAAAAATCGACCAGGGTCCTGCTTGATCAAACTGAGTTCCGATTCCCCCTCAACTCCTGAAAGCAATTTTGCAAACCGACCACTTCTCCATGCCCTGTTGACCTCGGTCTCCTCAAGTCCACCCACGGGAAACCCGCCCCCAAAAGGAAATGTGGAGAGCCCCTCAAGCTACCAGACCATTTTCAGGGCAACGAGCCGAAAAAGACAACCACTGCTACTTTGGCGACCCAAACGTGGGATCCCGTCGACCTGCAACCAGATGTTTCAAGAACCCGGTTGACTGCATCTTGAAATCAATCAAGGGATGGCGGATTCACTCCCTCAAGTTTCTCTATAAAACGTCAAGAACAATCCGGAAGTTCCTTCATTCCGTTTCAAACTCCCAAGTTGACTCCCTTCCTGTGCTCATTTGGTGTCCCTTAAGAACCACCAAAAATGGGGCACCAACTCAAAAAAGACCCACCTATCGCAAGATGAATCCCGGGCACCGGAAGAGCTTGGTCATCTCCACCATGCTCCGGAGCCACATGTCCTCCGGCCACTGCTCCGTGTACCAGAAGCCTTCGTCCTGCTTGACGTTGCAGCACCAACCTAGGGTCCAGGCGCATGTGGGGGGCTTCTCAAAAAAAGAAGCGGACCCCTTTCGGATGGATTTTAAAAGAACCAAAAGGAAACCACCTACCTAGAGGGATCTACAACTTTGAGCAACCGGCCGTCACGAAGAGGGGAACCTGCTATGGCGCAAAACGGGTTTCCGTTAACCCACACAAAGAAGAGGTACCCTCAAACAAGGACACACGCATATGGGCATGTCCCCGCTTGGTTGGTTTTAAGGGGAACCCCCAAAAAGGGAGATACACCGAGTTACATGGAATCCGCCAACCTCACTTCACGGACACGTATGGGTGTGTCCTTTTTTGTAAGGGAAATCCGCGTGGGAAACCCGTGTTGGTTCGGTCTGTCACGTGAAGCTAAACGAATATGGGTTTGTCTCGAAGGTTGGTTTTAGGGGGCAACCAAAAGGAACAAGCAGGGAACGAATGGCTAGGATTGCTGATACTTTCAATAGGGAACCACCTCACAAGTGGCAGGCGCACATAAATCCTATGTGATGTCCACACTAAAGGGTCCCAAATCAAATTCCAGCCCATATAAGGAACTAAGGAACTAAATCTGGCGACCATGGGTCAAGACTCAGGTTCCTTATCCTCCCAACAAAGGGAAAAGCAACATACTCACTTGGGTTTGGCTCAAAATCAGACCCGCACAAAAAAATGGAACCAGTGTCGTTCTTGCTTGCAATTGGCTGACTTGGGCTTGGCGCAAACTAGCCCCAAGCTCCGCAGTGAACATGCTGTTCTTTCGTGCGGGTCCTTGCAAACCACCCTCAGAAAGAAAGTTTGGAGACAAGACTGGCAAAGCAAGCTACCATCGAAAATTTGGGTGTTTCTCCCCTGCTTTTTTTTCTTCTTTTTTTCGCAGGTGTGATCAAAGCCGCTAAGTTTTGCCAAGGCGCCGGATCTGGAGATGTGATTGTTGAGTATCACCTGAAATCAGCAAGCAGTCAGGGCCCCGTGTCGAAAAGAGTTGGTCGCAAACAATGTTTGGTGAAGGTCTTCAAAAGGCGAATCCTGGCCCTGCAAAGGGGGCCGCTCAAAATGTTACCCTCTCCACTAAGTGGACTGAGTAATTGGTTTGGTCAATCGGCAGGGGGGGGGGGATGGTCGGGGGGGATGATGGGGGGGATGGGGGGGGGATGATGGGGGGGATGATGGGGGGGACCAGGAACAATCAATGGGTGCCGGGGCACCATGAGGCCCTTGTCCGTGAGAGCCTGAGCGACGACTCGACGGACGCTCCGGCGTCGGTGGATGAAAACCCCCAGACCAGCGCCCAATGCCCAAAACCTATGGACTGGTCATAAAGGTTGAACAGGTGAAACCCGGTATCTACTCTGGGTGTGACTTTCAATAGGGGAGCCTTTGGTGGACGTCAACAATGCTGAGGATGCATGTCCGCCACTTCAAGTTAATATCCATATTGGACACCTCAATCGGGCGACGGACGTGTAACTCAAGTGTCTGATGAAGGAGAAAAGTTGGTTGGAACAGGGTACAGCGCTGTGCTCAGATCCCATGCTAAAGGTGTAACGTATTTTCGTGGATCTAAAGGGAAACCCTTTCCCCCGGCACAACCTCAAAGCCTCAAAACCTCCACCGGACGCCTGAGACCTAAGGCTACCCTCAAGACCCTCAAAACCCTCAGAAACCCTCAAGACCCTCAAGACCCTCAGACCCAAGGCTCCGAAGGCCCCATTTTTTGGGCGCCCTCGCCTTCACCGTGGCCTCGAAGACCTCCATGAAGCGCTGGCCCTTGAGCCGCGGGTTCGCGGCCACGTCCCGGTCCGCCACCACGGGGTTGGACAGGTGGTTCTCCTCGATTCGTTTTTGATATGGCTGTGGTGGTCAAAACCCAGGAACCCCCTGGCAAACGTTCATCCAACCCAAAATGGTTCTCCTCGAGGATTTTTGCTTTTGATGTGGATGGTTGCGACATCCGTTTCGCACCTCCCAAGACCATGGTGGAAACCAGAACGTTTGTTACGGTATACACGGGGCAGTATGGCTGTGGGTGTCAAAACCGGAAACCCCTGGTGAACATCTAGGTGGCGAATGGATGTTCATCCACCCCAAAATAAAGCCATAGGTTACGCCCCATGGCATGGCAAATCCAACCGCCAGGCCCCAAGAACACGCGTTGCCGTTGCCAACGAAAAGCCAACTGTTGCCTGGCGGCGCGAATACAACCGCCAGGAGAGAAAAAAGATGCGGCTGTTGACAGCTGGAATATAGCTCCAAAGATTATGGTTCCAACCAGAGTCTCAACGAGAAACAGATCACCCACGAAGCTCAGATGTTCTAAGGGCTGAAAGCCAAACAAGTTGAGGGATGTGTCGAGCTTGAACTGAACTTCGGCTTCCTCTTCATTTCCATTTAAGCCAAAAGGGTACCGACTCCCAAACTCGTAAGCCCATCTTTTTTCATGTGAGGCAGCCCCCCGACATCCAAGTCTCGGTTGAACCGGCCACGGGTGTCTTCCAAAAGCTCTCCCTCAAAAAAGATGTGGCCGCCCTTGGTCCAGATAAACAAATATCCAAAAAGGGTGGTTCCCTTGCCACCTCCAAGAGAAGAGAAATGAGAGAAATGGGTATGGGCCAAAATTTAACCACCAGAACCTGAGGTTTGACTCCCTGTTTCCATTTACCGTCCCATGCTGGGTACCTATTCTGACCCACAGCCAAATAACTTCACGAAATGTCGCCTCATTTCGGAAGCAGGGCCATTTTCGGTGGGGCTGCTTCCTTTGCGCCTGCTTGGTGCCCATGTTTCGCCTGTTTTCTGCCCGCCGGGTTCTCAGAGAGAGTGGCCCAACCGCTTGCGATGTTTCATTCCTTCACCCAGTCGGTTCATCCAAAGCCCTGGAAATCCCATGGTCTTCTTCTCGCTTTCGCAGATCCAGTGGGGGGAACTCTTTTGAGCCCTTCGAGAACACCCTGTTGGAACTTTGGGCCCCATTTGGCTGTGGGTCAAACAACTTGGGCCACCCCAAAATTTGTTGCCCCGTAAATGAAAACATGGACTAAAACCTGCGGTCTGGCGGTTCAATTTTGACGCATACCCATTTGGGAACCCTTTTTGGAGTTGGTTAAAAAAGGACGAGCCACCCATGTTTCTCTCTCTCTCTCTCTCTTTCTCTCTTTCTCTCTCTCTCTCTCTCTTTCTCTCTCTTTCTCTCTCGTCTCTTGTTCTCCTTTCGCTCCGTTCCCCTGCGTTTTTATCCCGCCGAGGCGCGGTGCTGTAGCAGAGCCGCACGCAGTTGAAGCCCAGGTCCGCCACCCGCCCCGCGAGCTTGTCCAGGTCCTGCGGGCCAGCGATTCCGACAGGTTCCGAGGTGAGGGAGGCGTGTGAAACTCCCCGGCCAGTGGCGTTCACTGCTGTTTTTTGCCAGCAGTTCGGGCAACCTGCACTTCCCAAGTCTTGAAACCCGCAAGCCTTGAGTGTTGGTTGTTCCAACCTGCAAAAAAGGTACCAACTCAAAGCAAGCGTAGCATCCCCGTAACATGTCGACAAGCTTTCTCTGGCGCAGTCGAATCGGGGAGGCGCAGTCAGGGCGCGGCATCGTTTCGGTCCTAGTTGCGTCTCGGTTCGGTCCTAGTCTTTCAATCTGCACCAGTCCCGGAAACTTGTTTGATTTTGATTGGTTTGATTGCTCTGATTTGGCAGGTTGCCTGACAAGGACCAAAATGATCTGGCCAGATTTTGTAACTACGACCAAAACACTAAACTGCCGTAGGTGGACAGATTAATCAAACCCTTACAGATGTACCCCCCCCCGTTTGGAGGGTTAGGCTGGGTGGACGAATTAAAGCAAACCCCTATAACATGGAAACGCACTAGTGCCCAGCATAACATTGACATTGTCTGGTATGGGGGGCGGTGTGCGCTACAGCTGTTGGGGGATGGACTGATTTGTCCATCTACTGTAGGACCAACATGACTTAGCGACCAAAATAAGCGGGACCGGGCCGACGGCCCAAAAAAGCTGACTGGGACCATGAGCGAAAAAACTAGGACCGAATTGAGTGGGCTACCACGCAGTCGCATCTGATTGCTCTGCGGGAACCCACGAAACATCTTCCAGCACACACACACACACACGCACACGCACGCACGCACGCACGCACGCACGCACGCACGCACGCACGCACGCACGCACGCACGCACGCACGCACGCACGCACGCACGCACGCACGCACGCACGCACGCACGCACGCACGCACGCACGCACGCACGCACGCACGCACGCACGCACGCACGCACGCACGCACGCACGCACGCACGCACGCACGCGCACGCACGCACGCACGCACGCACGCACGCACGCACGCACGCACGCACGCACGCACGCACGCACGCACGCACGCACGCACGCACGCACGCACGCACGCACGCACGCAGGCACCCACACACACACACACACGACGGCGTTTGGACAGCACTTGGAATGTTGGAAATTGCAAAAACAGTTGTTGAGGGGGCAGGATTATGACTCATTGGACCCTCAAGAATCATGTTTGAGTCAGCGCAACCGCTTAAAGCTTGATCTGTCAACAAGCTTGTACTTTCTTGGGCGGCGGAAGCAACCAAAAAAAGCCATGCGTCCAAGAGAAAACACCAGAAACAGCGGGAAACAGGGTTCCTCAATTCCATGTCCACAGAAAACTCAATTCACAATGGGCCCTTTCAAAGGTGATGGATTTAAACCACCCTACAAAAAAACACCTTTCTGGCCCCAGAAAATTACAACTTTGACACCACAAGGTGTTGGCGAAAATGGTCCTGGACCTCAAGGCCACCAACCACCGCGGGCAGGGAGTAGGCTCCTGTGCAAATGCGCGGCTTCCCGAAGCCATGTTTGGTTGAAAATCCAACGCTCGGTGTTTCCATGGGCAAACCCCAGGTGGTTCTCTTGGTTTGTTTCCCCCTCTTGAAGATGGGCGGTCTGAATTTGCGGGCTGATCGCTGGTCCTAGACCCATCTTTTTCTGCCTTTGGATGGGTGGGCTGAAGTCGGAGGTAACCTCTGCGTCTTGAACGTATGGGCTTGGTGTATGGTCTGGGTCCCTCACCTAACCACCCCAACCACCAAGCTAACCCTAGGAGGCTCGTCAAAATCAGGGGCCAACTTTTTTGTGTCCCCTTCAAAGGTGGGCCAAAAGAGAAGCAGCCATAGAACCCCCCCAGGTCTTGAAACCCCTGAAGGGGCCCAGTCCTGCCCAGTTGATGCAGGCCCACTTCACCTTAGGATCGATGCCTCTCGCGACGCCATTTGGGCGTTTCTGATCTGACCCTTTGGTGGACATCACATCCATGCCCCAAAAGGTGATGTTCAAACCCTCAAGGTGTGCCTCATGATTGGCTGATCGGCTGAGCGCGGCACCCGCTCGTTGTCTACATTCACGATATACCGACCTGGAATGTGAAGCGGCCCCTCAAAGGAGACCGAAGGCTGCGATCTAAAATTTCGCGGATACCCGGACAAAATCAGGTTTCAAAATGTATCCTTGGCTCAGCTTCCTCCGATTGGTGGTTTCGAGTCCGGTGGTGTGGAGGAGTCAGGGGCAATCTGTTATCCCATTTACAATCTACATGTACAGGAGGAGGGCTTCAAATCCCACCAATCCAAGCCACCAACTAAATCAAGCTTCGCTCGTCTCGTTCCTTAACCATCCCCCCCTTGATTCGACCAACAACAAAAAGGACGTGAAAACCCCCACACCAACCGCGTAATCGCCGAACCCGGAGAAACGAAATAACGAATAGGATCGGATCGGATGGCCTTTGGTATGCAGCGGCAGCTTTGCGGGTTGCACCAGCGCCGCCGCGTTCTTGCTGCGGTCCCCAGCCGTTCCGATCGCGGCGACCGAGAGAAGAAGCCATCTCATGGCGCGCGCGCATCCGGTGGGAAATGCGAAATGCCAACGCAAATGCACCTGAAAAGGACGCGAGAGGCTTGAATGCAAAGCAGCAAACTCTCTTTGCATGCAATTGCTGAGCGAGGTCGAAATATGCACGCTTCAAGGATTTGTGATACTCATGATGTGTTCCCTGCGCGGTGACTGAATCTTTTCTGTCAATTTATGTAACTTTGGGCAGCTGCAATGTGAGAAAGGCGCAGGACATGCACGTTCCCTCCAACATATTCACTCAAGACTTGACGTCGTGCAACATGAACCAGCACTACATTCGGACGAACAAGTATGGGGTGTGTTTCGCTGACGTTTCCCAAGGTTGCTTTACAGGAAACCAAAAGGGAAACCCAAAGCATGACTTGTTTCTTGGGGGCTTCCAAGTCCACCCGAAAGCAAGGCCCTGAGTTGATCTACGTTGCCTTTGCTGCTGCTTCGCTTCTCTTTTCAGCTTTTCCTTCATTGGTGTTTTGGTTTGGATTTGGATTTGGATTTGAAGTTCTGATTCTTGCAGAGGGGAAATGGGTTTTAACCTCAACCAAACAAACCACCAACCCAGCCACCAACGACATGGCTGTGGGTCAAAACCCTGTACCCCTGGTGAACATCCCAATCCAAGCACTAAAATGGGTTGTAAAATGGGTGGTGAATTCACCTACCCCGAAAATGGGATCCCATTGGTCTTGACCCACAGCCATACTGCATCGATGAATGCAGTGTAGGCCATTATCAATGTTTGTACGACTCACGGCAGGCTCCGGATGTTAGCCCCTGCCTCCAAGCGCGCAAGCTGCCCAGCTAGATGGCTGAGGCTGAACAGTGCCAGCAGGCGCAAACGTGGCACATCGGGGAATCGCACACACAACCACTTGCAAACAACAAACTGTGCTGCTGCGGAACAAAGAGCATAGCACGCTGTGGCAGCTGGAAGTTTGCAGCACGTGAAGCTGCTGCTGCGGATCTTTTCGCTGACACAAGCTCCAGCTCTGTTCAAGGAGCATGTTTCACACTCCGTCAGCGCGGAATCACGCACCCCTCCTTCCAGACACCAGCGAACGAACCCTTCTCTCGCACAGCATCGAGTTGGCGTCATGTCGCCGTGGAGCTGCCCACTCAAACGATAGTGAATTCCAGGGAGTTGTCAAGACCGCACTAAATGGTTTGAGCTTGTTTAGCGGAGCCCTGCAATTGTTCTACGAGCCTGCCTGCGTTTGAGGACAGTCCAGGCCCTGGCTGGTGGTGTGTTGGACCTGTTCTTTTGCCTCAGGATGCATGGGCCCCACTGCTCGGCCTAAAGGGCCAAACGTCAGCCCTTCGGCATTGTGGCGGAGCCGTTGACATCCAAATCAACTCGCAAGTTTGTGCCCGAATGCGAGGATGTCGCACGGGACACGCTGGTTTCAGGGACCAAAATGGCAGAGCCAGATGCGAGCAGCCCGTGCCAACGGACTCCGCAAAGTGCTGCTCCATGTTCACAGCTAGGGCATGCTTGCACCAAGTATTGCCGGCGCTGCAGGCTTGGGCCCAGAGCTCAAGACGCGGGCCTTGGGGCTTTCCCGCTAGCTGTGAGCAGAGGGGGCAAGCGCGTGCGCGCATTCAGCTCCTTGAGGCTAGCGGGGACTTTTCGAAGGGAGGTCCATTACCTTGACGTCAACTCACTGGGTCACGCCCACAAGCTCGTTCAGCGATGAGAACTGCGCATCCGCGCATAAGCCGCCTTCGCAGTGGCTCGTTCGCGAGCACGCGTGGCAAGGCCAAGGCGGGCGGAGTCCATGCAGGTAGTCTCAGCTTGGCAAAACGTCCAACCATGATTCGGCTCCTTTCACGCGCGCGTCGCCTATACACCATCTTTCCAGGTTGAGCTCCCAAACCACTTGATCAATCTCACATACAACTCCGCTTGATCCAGGAAAATCAGACACGCGAAGTCTGACGTCGCATCGGAGGCTGCAACCGTCTTGCTTTGGCAACGCAAGCGAACCCAAGCCTCAAAGCTGTCGAAAGCTGGCGATGTGGCGCGCTTCAGCATCCCCTTTCGAGACAAACTGACCAGTTGCCCCTGAGCCAGCAGACTGTAGCCATTCAAGATCTCAGAGATGCGCCACAGAATGATTGCCTTGACCAGAACGTCAGGATCTTTGCGCGCCAGTGTTGACGGAACAAAAAAACTGACAATTCGATAGGTGTGGTTGAAATGGCTCACGCCGTGCGCTCACTCGATGGGCATAAACTGTCCTATGCGCCTCACAGCACAAAACTGTCTCAAGAGGCACTTTCCAACAAGAAAGACCTGCCACATTGAGCAAAAGTGGTTTACAAAGAAACGAGCCTTTCTGGAATAGGTAGCCATAGCAGTCCCTGAATGATTGGCTCTTCAGCAAGGCACTGCTTTCGTACCTCCAGCACTTGGCGAAGGAGCCAACAAGCGGGTGGAAACACCATAGCTCGCTCCCACCACACGCCAATCCAATCGCAGGACGGAGATCGCAAAGCTCTCGACGTTCACGGGCTTAGATAGGAGCACCTCCAGCCACCCGTTCTCTGCATGGGCTGTATGACTGCAGGGATCTGCACGAAGTCCACACTCTGCGCGCCCATCCCCCTGCAAAGTGGACTGCCCAGAGAAGCACATAGTTGACCCGTCAACCCCGTAAACCTCAACTCGGTATACATGAATCACTCGCAGCTTACTCACAGACTCCCGCGTCAGTGTCTTGCCGTCATTTGTCGGAGGCTGCGCGTGTAGCACTGGAATGCCCTTTGAGCTACAGTCGACATGCCAACGTTCAAGGGCTTTGATGTAAGTTGCTGTATCTTTTCTGGATTACTTTGATTGTCATTGTTGTTGCCAAGTAGCAACATCCTGAAGTCATGTTGTTCTGGCACCTTCCCGCGCTAGCAGCAGCAGCTGATAGGACTGGCTGCGCATGCCAAAGCAACATACATAAAGCTATCAAACGACTGAATCAGGTATCACGCGCTACCCAATTGGCACCACAAACCAAGATTCCGAGGAACTCTTGCGGAAGATTCGCCAAGTCTGCAAAATATCCGTTGACATGGATGGCAAGAGTAGATGCAAGCGCTCCTAAAAAGCTGTCTAGGACATTCCAATATCCTTTTGCCCATGCTTAGGTTTGTGCAGCGGTACAAGGTTTGCTGGTGCCTCTCTGCTTGTCCTACGCCAATAGCTCTTATACAAGTAATTACCTCTGTGACCTCCACATGACGGAGTGAACTGCGTGTCCTCTTTCAAATGAGTAGCCTCAGCAAGCTCATCCACAAGCAGGCATTGGTACTGGGGCCGTCCACATTGCAATCATGTTGGCTGGTGTTGAACAAGTCTACCCGCAAAGAGAGAGCAAGCGGCATTCATCGAAAACCGGGACCTCTTCGTTTATGTAGAGCCTCTCGAATGCATTTTGCGCTACCGTCCGTTTGCAAGATCAGCTGAAGCCTCCCTTCAAAGCCTCTCGCAGGTTCTTCCAATTTGTCCACCGACTTCTGCAGGCTTGCTCCGGTAGGCTTTTTGTCTATGCCTCGCACAGCTAGAGCGACAGAGGAGATTCATTCAGTCCGTGACCTCCGCCATGGCGCGGGCCGCGGAATGGGGGAAAGCCATGATTGATACTCAGGGTCTTGTGGTCTTCCACTTGACATGGAAGTGCGAATTGTAGATAAACACCTGAGCTTAAATGTGCTTCTCGTCCAACATCCTGTCAGGGCCAGAGTGCTTCAATCAAGAGCAGCGTCCCAACTCCATCAAGTCGTGAAGTTTGTCAACGTGCTTCAGCTCGCTCTCATCACACAAGGTTTCCATTCAGCAATCCCACCTGGACAACAAAGGAACCATACATCAGCTATGGGGTGTAAGACGAAAAAAATGGAATCATGCAAGCGTGCAGGAAATAAGCGATGTGTATCGACGGCAAGCGTAACAAAGTCCAAGCTAGTGCGCTTACACAACAGCCACACACGCCCTTTGTGTTGCACGATCTTCCCGGTTGAGCTGAAAGGACATGGATCCCACAAATGAAAGCCCGAACGCGATCGAGAGTAAGGCGGTAAGGCGGAGGGAAGAAAGTAACGCGTTAAAAGCCCATTCCCGGAACCCAGGTGTAAGCTTGTGCATGTGAAATTGAGACGCAAATGATCGGGGAAAAGTCAAGCAATTGGACAGAAAATGAACCAGTGAAGTAAGTTGAGGCTTGAAAGGGAAACCAAAGGGAACGTAACCATCTTGGGGATCCTATTTTGACACCCCACATGAAGCTGCGGCTCATCTTGTCACTCGAGCTCGCTTGTCTGGAGCATGTGTTTGACGCTCCGCGAGTGCAGAATCATGCATTCCCTCCGCTTGCCAGCCGAAGCTTCCTGAAAAAGGGTGTCTAACACACACCCGAGCCCATATTTGTTTTTCTTCTGTGGCCCATGGCGCCAAGATGGAAGGGAAGTGACCGGTGAAAAACTTCTAGCCGCGGGCCACGAACCTTTGCGTGGCCAACGGCTGGCGCGCGCCGATGGTTCGCCGATGCCCGGCGGAGGGCTCGAGGATCAAGCCTGGAGCTGGGCGCACTGTAAGAGCCAGGGCGCCCACTCTCGACATATCTAGGGCAGTTTCCCAAAAGCAAGGGTCCCTGTTGGGAAAAAAGGGAAGGGCCTTCCGCCGGTTTTGCGGTTTTGCGCGTTGCCACTAAGAAATGGCAGAGATGCAAAGCTTCCAACTGGCCTGGGCAGCTCGGTTTCTCGCCACGCACCTCTCGATGTCCTCCAGGGCCTCGAGGCGTGCTCCGCGACACCCTCCGTTACGGCTCATTTTTTGTTGAGCCGGGTGAGTTCAAAAAAAACACCGGAACCGCCCAAAGGGTTCCCCTCTTTAGAATGGAATTTGGAGACAAACCCATGGTTGCTTGACACTGCCTCACCGGGCCTGCGCCTCATCTATCCAATTCCCGGCCAATTCCACGTGCGTCACGGCAGAGTTCTTCTGCAGCGCTGCCGCGAGGGCCCGGGCGCCCGCGGCTCCCAGGCCGCTGTTCCCCAAGCTGATGTGTGACACCACCTGGTTCTTCTCCAGCGCGGCCGCCAGGGCCTGGCGAATGGGAATGCCCCTGGAGCTCCCCAACAAATCAACCCTTCTTCCTGGCGCCCTTTCGCCTCTGCCCCTGCGTCGGAGATGTCATTGCACTCCAGGTTGATGTGTGTCACGGTGCTGTTCTTCTCCAGCATCACTGCAAGGGCCTACGGGGGGAGTCGGACAGAAGCCGTGGACGGATTCGCTTCGACCGCCTGAGCTCCCTCGCTGCGGAGTCCACTCGACCGCAGGTTGATGTGCGTCACCGCGCTGTTCGTGTCCAGCGCCTGCGCGAGAGCCTGGCGCTGGGAGAAGGCTAAAGAAAGCGAGCCAAGCTCCAAAGCTGAAAACGCCTGGGCGCCCTGATCACCAATGTGGTGCTTTGCCAAGTTGATACGTGCCACGGCGCTGTTCCTTTTCAGCACCTCCGCGAGAGCCTGGCAAGAAACAAAACGACTGCAAAACTCCTCGGCACCGGGCCTCTATTCGAGGCTGTGGTAAAGCAACTGCGCACGGTGGCTGGCCGTTGTAGCTTGGCAGTCTGAAATCCTGGAATGAATTTTGCGACAGCAATGCTGGCCCCTGATGCGCGGCTGGCAAGTGCAAAAGATCATCCCGAAAAGACGAGCCTTGATGGCCGCTCTGTTTCTCGCCAAGTGCCCCTCAATTTCCTCCAAGGCCTCGGCCAAAGCTTCGCCCCAGCGAACCGCCACGGCAAAGGCTCGAGCTCTCAAGCACCGGGCCTGAGTGCCCTCAACACCGATGCGATTGATGGCCAAGTCGATGTGAGTTAGGGCGTTGTTCTTCTTCAGCGCTGCTGCGAGGGCCTGGCAGCAGGGCCATTGCATGAAAGGAATGGATGGCCATGGACCAATGCAAAGCCTCAAGAGCACCGGGCCTGAGCGCCTGCAATGCCAATGCCATTGCAAGTCAAGTTGATGTGTGTTAGGGCGGTGTTCTTCTCCAGAGTTACTGCGAGGGCCTGGCAACAGGGCCATGGCATGAAAGACTACAGCGAGCACTGGGCCTGAGCGCCCACATCGCCGATCTCATTGTATTGCAGGTCGATGTGTGTCATAGCGTTGTTCTGCTCAAGGGCCCCTGCGAGAGCCTGGAAACAAGGTTGCTTGCAAGCCATGGACAGCAATGGACCCTCTAGGGCACTGGGCCTGAGCGCCCGCATCGCCGATCTCATTATATCGCAAGTCGAGGTCCTTCATAGTGTTGTTCAGCTTCAGTGCTGCTGCAAGGGCCTGGCAACAGGCCCCAAAGCTTTTCGTGAAAGCCAGGCAAGGAAAACCTCTGGAGGCTTTCCGGGCCTGAGCGCCCACGTCGCCGATATTATTATTTGCCAGGTCGATGCGCGTCAGGGCGCTGTTCCGCTCCAGCGCCAATGCGAGCGCCTCAGAGGTGGGCCCAGCCGCTCCGACGGCCCGACGGCCCGACGGCCCGAGCCTGAGCGCCCGCATCGCCGATGCCATTGAATCCCAAGCTCACGTGTGTCATGGTCTTGTTCTTCTCGAGCACTGCTGCGAGGGCCTGGCAGAGTGCGCATGAAAATTGGCACTGACGTGAGCGCAGGTCTTGCTGCTCCCCGAGTCTTTTGCGCATGACAACGGCTGCTTCTCCGCCTTGACAACGGCTGTTGCTGCATCAGGCAACTCCATTCTCATTGTGAAGTCTTGTAAGATCGAGTGCACGCCCACCGCCTGAGAAGCACAAGCATTCAGGATGAGGAATGTGTGAGCCCGCCCCCAACCCGCCACCCCCCCCCCCCCCCCGCGGGCGCGCTGCTGGCCTTCCCCAATGCGTCGGCTGTAGCCGCATCAACCTCGACGTTGCAGAGTCCCATGACTCGGAGCCGCCGGGCGCGGGGGAGAACCTGCACCAGCTTGGCCACCTCGCTGGCCGGCAGGTCGTTGAGCTGCACTTTTACGCAGGCGGTCACCTTCTCCGAGAAGATCTTCTCCTGCAACGCGATCACGGCCTCGGCATCCGAGCGGTGCGTGAACTGCGCGCTGTGCATCCTGGCGGCGAAGTCCTCGGGCGCCGTGGCCACGCGGCCACGGAGGCACGAGATGTCAGCAGCAGCCGACACGTCGATGCGCTGATGCTGCGCGGAGCTGCCACGCGAGGAGGACCACTCGATCTCGGCGCGGCACCAGCCGCGGTCCCGGTACGGAACGCGGTTTTCGGTGAGCTCGCCAACCGGAACGGCTTGGACGGAACCGCTGGGCTCATGGTAGACAGGCACTGTGCGTGTGGCATCCTGCCGCGCACTATCCCAAACTGCTTTGGGCGTCAGGCTCTCGATCCGAAAGGTCAATGTACAGTCATGTGCATAGACGACGTGCATGTCGGACATCGCACGCCCGAAGCTCTCGTCTTCGGAAGTCTGGCGCCTATACTGAAATAACGACACGTAATCGTAAAACAGCCAAATCTCGGCCGAATAGGCTGCATGGTACAGCGCCAAACAGTTCACCAGCTGTTCCAACTGGAAGCAGCACGGATCCGGATGCTCGCAACTTTCCCAGCTGTGGGACACCGCGCAAAGGATCGCCTCTCGCCGCCCTTCGGCCCACTCTCTCACTTCCGCGTGGCTCACAAGCGCGGCCGGGTCGAGCTCGGTTTCCTGTCGCCTTCTCAAGGGTGTCTTCTGCTCGTGCAACTGGTAAAGGTACCTGGAGACCGGTGAGCGGAGCGAAACCAACGCCTAGCCTGGCGCACTTTGCCCGCACCAATCGGATGTCTGCGTCCTGCAGGAAGTCGGCCAAGGCCTTGGGGTCTTTCAAGTCGTACTTGGCCTGTGGCGAGCATGACGGTCGCAGCATGCTTTTTGCTAGACGGCCACAGCTTTTTGGGCGCTTGGAACGCGTCTTCAAAAGGTTGCAGATTGAAAATAGAATCAAACGCCCAAGATACCTCCCTTACTCGGTGAGGAGGCTTCCGATTGTACCCGTTCCGACCGCTCCGTAATCTTTCCCACAAGTATTGCTTCGTGTCAGTGGAACCCCAACAGATATGCCCAATGCCAAATTGTCCTCGTCCGAGTTTCAACAACGCCCTCGTTCCACCCTCTGCCCCACAAAACCGAAACCCAGCCTCGCTCTGTTTGCTTTGCAAATCGTAGAGGAGATCCAGGAAATTGCGAACACCTCAGCTTCGGCTAGGGCTGCCCGTACCGCTCAAACGGGCCCAAAGAGAAGCGAGGCTCGAACAGTGGCGTCCGAGCGGATGCGAAAGACAGCCCCGGCAACATGACTTCATCGCGGCGATGCCGTACGGTTGTTGTTTCGCTTTTTCAGCCAGCTTTCGGGTGAAACTTGTCTTGCAAGCCGCACGTACGTCTCCTCTCTCTCTCTCTCTAACACGGGTGCTGTACGCTGTGCCAGCCGCATGTCCTGATTTGCAGCGTACCTTCGATCCGAAGCCCGCCAAGGCGCTGATCTGTCCGCTGAAATCCTGCAAGGGTCGGTGCGCGCGCGAAGCCGATCAGAGCTCAGGGGTGAAGCTTGTCACTTGACGCACCCTTTGCGCACGTCTCGAATCTGCGGTTTCAAGGGTTGAATTGCAAAAACGAGCAGAACGCGTAGGGACATGGGATGGATCGCTTGAGGCTTGCGCACTGCCTCGTGAATCTTAGCTAGCGCTCGCAAGCTGGCCTCAACTTGGAGTGTCCTGCTGTGACTCCAAGCACTTGCAGGACACAAATCCACATGATCGCAAAGTTCCTCGACCATGCAAGTTCAACAAACACAACCCAAGCAGCATGGCGTCACAACAAAGGAAACACTGATATGTGCTCAAGCATCATGCTCAAGCATCAACGAATGTGCAAAGCAACAGACGCGGTTAACAGTGATCAAACGGAGCTTACTCCACCCCTTCTGATTGCTGGTCTTATCCTGAAGAAATGACAGTGGAGACCACTTGTCGTTCCAGACGCAAGCCCTCAGCAAATTCCCTAAAATATATTAATATATGTATACATATATATATATATATATATAATATAGATTGGGAATGCACAATTGTGTTTCTTTCCCAGCATGGCGGATGTGACTTTGGATGGCCATCCAAACTCGTCCTCCCTAAGCTTGCCCCCGAAACACGGGTTTGTGAGCCATGATCAAAGCAGTGTGCTATGCACTTCTTTCTCAAAACCGGAAAGAACTTCCTAGGCATGAGAAAAAACAGGACGGTTTGAAGGCGAAGCATTTGTGTTGTGACATGTAGGAACTGCACCAACTGCATGATCACAAGAGTACGGGCGTGAAAATGGACCTACCCACATCCGCAACATCTAGATTCCAGCATTCTCAGCATCACTGGCTGAGGATTAGTTTGAGGATGAGCTTCTGCAGATGGGTCGAAGCTGATCAGCCTGCTTTCGGGTGGTCAGCCTGGACGGTTTTGGGGAGGGATTGGCCGAATCGAATGAGGGCAGTTTCGAAGCGAACGACTCAAGCGAAGGCGTCCTTCAGTATGGCATCAGCCTCTTGTAGGCTGATGCCAAGGGAGCCCAGCAAAGTGGTCCAGCCTCGTTCGGGTCAACGAGGTTCAACGGCTCAACCGGGTTCGTTTTCGACCCGTTTGGTAGAGAACCATCATAGACACATAGATGCCCCCCAAAAGAGTCTTTCTAAGCCTTGAGATTTGTCCACATGGTCCTGGCGTTCGATCATCTCTAGCTGATGGACAACTTTGAAAACAGGAGACGTCCCACCAACCGCAACCTCAATCAAACAGAATCACGGCTTAAACAGACCGCCCTCTTAGAGGCAGTCCCCGACAACAACCCTGCCACATGGGTTTGTCTTGGTTTGGAGTTGGTACCCGTTGGGGTATCTTGAAGGGAAACCAAAAGGAAATCCGAGATTTGTTTGGAGGAGTCCAACCTAAAAAGCAACCGCACCAGTTCTCGACCCAAGCGGCGCTCGCGATCAAGGGTTTCGCCCACCACAGACGTGATCACGGCCTCAAGTTGGCGCCGCAACTCCTCGGAGCGACTCGAACGGGGACATTGCCCCGTGTGGGAAAGGAATGGGTGCGGATTTATGTTGGGCTTTGTTTTCTTATTATTATTAGTAGTAGTATTATTTGTGTTTTAGTTTTTCGTCTTGGCCAGTAAAATGTCGTAGTTTACAGCATTCTCTCGCAAAATTGACGTATTTTACACTAGCCCGTCAACATCCTCAGCATCGTTTTCAACCTCCCCCGCATGTCCAACCAACATCCCCAGCATCAACAACAAATCGTGGGTAAAAAATCAGGAATGTATTTGGCGGGTTGACGGGGTCGGGAAAAAAGAATGATTCAAATAGGAGGGCATTTCAATCCCTGCAAAAAGTCTAAAGTAGCAGAGGGGTTGCAGTAACTGCAGGCCCCCCCATGATGTTCGAAGAAGTGATGATTCAAATAGGGCTGCATTTGAATCTCTGTACAGCCTCTAAAAAGTTTCGGGGGGGTTGGGGGGGGGGGGGGCGGCCCCCCCATGATGTTCGAAGAAGTGATGATTCAAAAAGGGGTGCAATTGAATCTCTGTACAGCCTCTAAAAAGTTTCGGGGGGGTTGGGGGGGGGGGGGGCGGCCCCCCCATGATGTTCGAAGAAGTGATGATTCAAAAAGGGGTGCAATTATTTTTTTGTACAAACTCTAAAAGTGGCGGGGGGTTGGGGGGTGGGGGGCGGCAGCCCCAAACCCCCAAGGCTTTCGAAGAAGTGATGATGCCATGAGGGGTGAATGATTCAAGAGGTTGGCAGGGGTGGCGTCCCCTATGATGCTCGAAGAAGTGCATACATGCAGACATGCATAGATTACATAGATTACATAACATGTTGTATTTTACAGCATTTTCTCGCGAAATTAGATGCTTCAAAAGGTGATGATTCAAATAGGGGTGCAATTAGAGCTCTGTAAAAGATCTAAAAAGTAGCAGGCGGATTACCGGGGCCGGCAGCCCCCCCCCCCATGAAGTGATAATTCAAGTAGGGGTGCAAAGATTCAAGAAAGGGTGCGATAGAAAATAGAAAGCAGCGGGGGGGTTGGGGGGGTTCCCTATGATGTTCGAAGAAGTGCATACATACAGACATACATACATGCAGACATACACAAACATAAATACAAAGAACACTTGCCGGAGAGGAACTGGTGACGCTCACGATGCCGGAAGCCAAAGCCAAAAAACCAATGAAAGGATGCCGGAGAGGAACTGGGAAAGCAGAGGATGCGAAAAGCCAAAGCCACCAAAAGCCGCAAAAACCAGCGAAAAGCGAAGCCAAAACGCCACCTCCCGGAGAGGAACTGGGAATGCAGAGGATTCGAAAAGCCAAAGCCAAAAAGCCACCAAAGGCCGCATAAACCAACAAGAAGCCGAAAAGCCAACAAGCCGAGAAGCGGGAATCAACTGTGTACCGGGGCAGTGTATCATTGTGTCAAGGTCTCAGATGTGTGATGGGTATGAAAGCGACATCATGTTTTGTTGTCGAACCGCATGTGGGATTGGGTGGGTAGTCGGCTGGCCATGCTACCGGTATTTAGTTTAAGGTGGTTCACTTGGGTGCTGCGATTTATGTTACGTTTTGCTTGGGAGGTCGGTTGCCTTTGAGGTTGGTGTCTCCACTGTACGACCCTAACAACAAATTGAACGGAAAGGCACTCCATTCCAGAAGCGTAGCGCATGCCGCAAAACACCAATGCCCTAAGAAAGAGAACATAAACTCTAATCATGTTCAAGGAAGAAAGAAACGCTTCCCAACGTGTTCACCCCGGAGGCTGAAAGAGCTGACCAGGTTTCAGGTATGGTTGCAAGCTTCCAACCGTGGCTGCATTGGTCTTATCCCAAGTGCTGGAATCGTAGCAAGGTCGAAGAGCCGCTTGCGAACGAAGGGCCAATGAAAGTCAGATTCCCTTGCTGCAAACCCAAACAAACGTGACCTGCAGTAATACGAGAACTAAGCCTCCGAAAAGTCCCTCCATGTGAGTATGGACGGAAAAGAATGTTAAAGGTATCCTCAACAAATAAGAACGCAAAATGGTGGGTTTTTCTTTCGCTTGAGACAAGGTGAAAAGGGCAAACAAGGCGCCCAGGAGCCAAGTCCTCCATTTCAACACAAGAATGCAATGCCTGCGGCCAATTGCATTCGAAGAGCTAGGCCTCCTCCATCTCCTGGCATCGATAAGACGGGAGCTTGGTTCGAACCGGGCATAGAGTTCGGTGTTCCCTTTGCTTTCCCCAAGCAGCCCACGAAATGGGAACTTTTGGTTTGGCGGAAAAAGGGACGCTGACATCAAGGGGACCTTGACGGGGCATCCGACCCGATCCTGGCCCGAAGCGGACATGTCCTGCCTGAGCACGGCTCCATGGGAGAAGCGAAACGGGAAGCGACCGAAACTAGAATCCTTCAATGAACCGAGTCTGGTTAGCTTTCCGCAGCTTGCAACCACATGGTGGGGAAGCACTCCGAAGCACGCAGGGCTGCCTGCGATTTGGGCCAACGGCAACGCAACGTGGCCATGCAGCACAGCCAGGGTCTCTCGCATGCCAAGCGAATGGCTGGCTGGAACACGCCGCCTGTTTCCCACGTTGGTTGTTTTTTGTCTTTGTCCGTTTGGGGGCTACACAAAGCTCTGTATGCGTCCGCTCCCAGGCTGAAGGCTAGGCCATAGCATAATATGAAGCCTTGGGAATCTAAAGTGCTAAATTAAGGACGAGGATAAGCACTGCATTTGCAATCCTAAGTGCGCAAGATGAAGTACTGGGAATCTAAGATTAAGTATTGGCAATACCAAACGAATCAAGTGCAGGAAATCCAAGATTCAGCACTGGTGAACTAAGTTAGGCACAGGAAATCTGGATGAAGTACTGGCAATGTGCAAACTCAGAATTGGATATTTAAGATTAGTTTTTCAACACTGCAGTTTTGGGCGAAGACGAAGTGGCCTAGGAAAGCAAATGACCACAACGTAGTTCACGAAACAAGTCCCTGACAAGGCACTGGCCTATTTTGGAACGAGCTGCACCAGAAATGTTAAGGCCTGTTGCACTGCTCCTAGCTTGAACCCAAACAACCCTCAAATCAAACAACCCCGCAAATCCAAAAGGCGCACACTTCTTTCTCACGGGTTGCTTGAAAGTGCGCTGCCTCCAGGGCACGCGGTGCACCTGGAGCAGGACGAAGCATTGTCCCCCCTGTGAAACTTGAAAGGCGCCAGACAGGCGTGTCCGGGCTTTTGCAGCGCAAGCAAACAGCGTGGCAAGCGTGCCCACGCTGGCGTGTGCGGCGAGGGAGTACCGCGGGTACAGCCCGGGGCAAAGCGAGGGCAGGCGTGCCCAAGCCTGGGCTTGAGGCGCAGAGCGTCTGCAGCCTCGAGCCAGCCTTGTAAAAGGCCAAGTAGGGTGGGAGGGTGCCAATTTTCAATGTTGCCACTATGGGGGTTTCTGAGGGCGTTTTCCTCTAAGGTTTGCCTTCACCCGTGGTTAAGTTGCGCATGCGACCTGGCTTCTCCTCTGAGCACAAACCATTTTGCTGCAGCAGTGGCCTGGGGTGCTGCAGAGACGCTTTCCCATGAGCGCCGGGGCGGCGCCAGCAACATCACCGCAACGGCGCCGCCGACGGGTGAAATCTTGAGCCAAACGCCGCATCCCGGCCGTCTGGGTAGATCACGCGATGCATCATGATTTCACTAACCTACACGACACGTTGTTGCTCCGCCTTTTTGCCCACAAACGCTGCCTACGCCAACCTCCCCCAGCCGGGATTCGATCTAATTCGCCGCAGTGTTGCCAACGCTCCACGCTCCCAAAGCTTGCTGTGTTACACCCAAATCCAGGCAATCACACCTTCCGAGCAAAGGCGTCAAACGCAAAACTGATCACCGTCTCCTTGGTTCGTGTTGTTTACAAGAAGGATGGTTCTGCAGTTCTGGCTGGGTGGAAGTGAAAAGACCAACTGAAGAAAGCCAGCCGTGGGAGTGACAAATGACTTCCTGCCAGGCCTCAAGCCTTTCTGGCCAGCAGCTTTGCGTGGACTCACACCGAGACTCCTGAAACAGCATGACCAGAAGCCCCAAAACCTTCCTGAGATCCATGCTGACCCCAACAAGGCTTGGCGCATACCTGGCAACCGCTCAGCACGCATGCGCCAGGTTGCAGCTTGCTGGCCCTATTTCCTCCTCGTGGCCCTTGTCGCTGCTATGGCTCATGATGACGCTTGCAGGAGAACACAGCATGCAGTTGCAACTACCGCTGACAGTGGGGGGAATACACACGGCAGGAGGACTCGATCTCAAGTCTACACTGACAACAGGCGCTCGATCAAAAAGGTGAATCGTTTCTTTTGGGGCTTGAAACACCTCGAAAAATATCGCGTCCAGCAACCACCACACACACATCTTTTTTTGCAACGCGGAGCCCTGTCTGTGCCTTTTGCCTTCAGCTTCAGGTTTCACCCAAAGTCCGCAAGCTTGTTTTGCAGAGGCTTGCCAAGCTTCTCGAAGAACAGTCGAAGGGGCCCGGTCCTCTCCAAGAGGAGTTCCGCGAGGCCCACCTCGTTGAAATAGACGTTGGGATTGTCAAGGGACCGGCCCTCTTTAGTGCTCTCAGTGGTGTAGAACACGGGCAAGGCTTGGAGCACCTTCGGATTGGCTTGGAGGCCAGCCAGTGCTTTTTTCGCCTTGTCTTCCACCGAGGGCCACTTGCCCACGAACTCCTGTACATACTTGGTTTGCGCGCCAAGAATCAATAGATGGGCGTTTGGGTCCTTGTCCCCAGGCCCTGTCGGCTGCAAGCTTCGAAGCAGCTGTCGGTGATCTTTGCGCGGAACTGTCCATGGCACCAAATATTCAATCCCTTTCTCAGTGCGCTTCTGGGACACCACGATGCTGCCGTACTCTAAGGAGCTCATCACCTCGTCAACGTCGTCAAAGGAATCGAGCTCCACCACCGAGTCGCCAGAGTACTGCAACCCCGGCATGACAAGCACTGCTCGCAGGCTCTCTGGCTTCAAGTTCGCCCCTGGGAAGAGCTGCTCCAGCGTGCAGCTTTCCTGCTCCAATGCCAAACGCACCGCAGCATCGAAGTGAAGCATGACGGTCTCAAACTTCTTCTCATGCGTGGCCTCAATGACAGCATCCTCTTCAAACATCTTCTTGATCTGGTTTGCCAAGGGCTCACGGTGGCTTTCAGCCCAGCTTTGCAAAATGAGCGGGTGCAAGACTGACTTATGGCCAGAGTTGCCAAACTGCACGGCCTGGACTAAGCCGCGGGAGACAAGGTCGTCATGTACTCCAGTCGCAATGATCGCACTGGGTGAATACCACTGTCTGACCTCGTCACTCTGCAAGGGTTTGCCCTGGTCAAGCTTGGCAAAGCTTATCATTCTCATGCGAAATTGGGCCAACGCAAAGGTGGTTTCAGGCACTCCACAGACAGAAAACGCATCCTGTAAAGCATCAAACGTCAAGCGCGGATGGCCAAGGAGCTGTCGCAACAGCTGTCGTCTGCCAGGTGTTTGCTCGAAAGCATTGCGAATCTCCTGAGGTACCCTGTCCAAGGAATCAGGTGGCAAAGCCTTCAACATCAGTGTCGCAATTTTGCGGCCAGACTGGCTTGCTCGCTCCTTCATGTAGCTCTCCAAGAGCGCTGTCCAAATGAAAATAACAGGAAACTCTCCCGAAATAAGAGATGCGTCTTGGGTGTTCATGAGGGTGGAGATGAAATTGCAGCACGGCTTGGTGCCGCATTTTTGTTCCAGCTGCATGACCTCGTCCACCCCCACCACAAGAAGCTCCTTTGACAATCCCAGCTTCTGCTGCAGAGCCCGCATCACCTTCTTCCATGGAAGGACCGCCGAGCACCATTCAGCGTCATCCGGCCGCATGCCGGCGCTCTGAAGGAGCACCTGTGCGAAGGCATTTTCTGGGCCCTTGCTTGCATCCCATTCGCTGCCTCTATTGAAATCCACGTGCAGTCCGACCTTCGCCCCAGTTTCGTTGAGCCAAGTGGTGCACATCTCATGCAGGAGGCGAGTTTTGCCGATTCCCTTGACACCAACCGTCACCGTCATGCTGCACTTTGGCAGCGTCCCCTGCTCCCAGTGGATTGAATTGGCAACATCCATGGCCCCGCGAATGTATTCAAGGAGTTCCCGCTTGGCCTCCGTGCGCCCCATCAATGCAGGTTTCATCGGTGCTGGCCGGCGCACCGTCCAGCTCGACGATAGGATGGCCTGGCAATGTTGCATTTGTCCGCATTTTTGCTGCTTGGTTGCGAAATATTCTTTTTGGCTCTCCAAAACCACCCCCCGTCCTCGATGGCAGCCTGCTGACCATCTGCCTTGGGAAGAGGCATCAAATTGGAGCCTTCGTTTAGGGTCAACTCTACTGCTCGAAGATGTGACAATACTCAAAGTAAAAGGGGAACAAGCTGGGATTTGGGGGCCAGCATTATCAAACAGGCAACCAGGAACTTCTTTCAGTTCTCTCATGCTTGAGGGAAAGGTGTTGTTGCAATGGGGGCCAAGATCACATCGACTGCAACAACCGCTGTCTCAACACTTGCGCGGTTCCTTCGCCACTGTTTCATGTTTTGCGAGACGCTGACACTTCATAACAAATCAAAAAGAAGCATGGGCACTTAATGCAAAAGCCGAGCACTAGGAAAGCAAGGAACACAAGTGATACCAAAACCGAGACAAAACCAACAAACATCCAGCAGGAACATTGCCCATGGACGCATCCATTCGTGGGCCTCCACAGTGAGTCGCACCACGCGCGCCGACAATGCAGCCAGCTGAAGTCCAAAAAAGGGATCAGGGCAGTCCCACAGACAACATTTCCGCTTCTGGGGGAAATCAAAAATCACACAGAATGACCAACGCAATGACCGGCAGAAGCAAACGACCTCCCCGAATTGCAAGGAAGGGCGACCATCCATTCACGGGTCTCCACACTGATTTGTTTCAGGCTTCGGGTCGGGGAGTCCTCTTGCGCAGCCCCGGCGCGCCGAGCGACTCCGGCATGCAACGGATGCCGTTTTGCAACCCGAGAGAGCAAAAGTGCAATCTATTTACGCCTGCGGGCAACTCTGAGAACTGGGCCAATATGCTGTCCTGGCACAGCAGCACGAAACAAGAACATCCAAAGCAGGGACATCATGGTCCTTCAGCCCAGGAACTCCTCCTCGGGCAAAGTCCTGGGCGGCGACAAGGGACTCCTGAAACACGAAAACCTTCGAAAAAAATGTGTCCCAAGACCGAGGCCGTGCTCGGCTGCACGTGCAGCGCCAATGCGACCCCGAGAAGGCAGAGGCACATACCTGGCCGCTGCCTACCGCGGGCACGGTAGCGTCACAAGCTTGCCAGCCTCGGCTTTTTGTCCTGGTCCGCATCGTCACCATGGCCACTGCGAAAGCGCTGCGATTCCTGAAGCCCTGGACCCATTGGGCAACCATTGCGAGCTGATGTTGTGTCAGTGTTGATGAGTACCCTCAAGCCAAGTTTCCAGCGGAGCAAACACAAGATTGACTGGCTTCTTTGGCAACACCAATGATGTAGGGTTTTGGATGCTCCTCCTTTTGCTCCACTCGCGGCCTGAAGGTCGGTCGGGCCAAGCCTTGCAAGGCTTCTCGCCGTCCATCCGTCAGACTGGCTGACCCGCATCCTGAGCAAGATACCGAAATCGGCACCGCGAAAGTCACAAGCTGTCTCGGGCCCTGGAGGGCGGGGGTTGCTGGGTCCCTGGCGTTCCTGCAGTTGCTGGGGTTCTGGGGTCCCTGGGGTCCTGGGGTCCTTGCACCGTCCGGACCCTGAGAAAGTGCCCCCAAAGGGCAACAAAACGAATCTCGCCACAAGGGTCGAGTGGTTTGGGGGGAAGCTCTTTCCAACCACAAACGACAACGTGAAAATCGTGAGACAAAAAACGCAACACCCATCATGCAGAATCACACGCAAAACTCGTGCAAAACATGAATTTTCGGAAAAACAAACGCGTTTTTGTTTGTTTTTCCGTAAATGGCGGCCCTCGAGCCGCTTGAGCCAGGGCCGACACTTTGGTCGGACCATTTTTTTTGTCCGCCCTATAAGAAAAGAGACCGGCAACCAAGAGTCAACATGACCACCATCGCCACTACAGTCGCCCTCGGCGAGGTGCAGTCGGCGCCCTTGAGGTCGGAGGGCAAGCCGATAGTCTGGCAGTCCGAGTGGACCCACATCATCTGGGAGCCCAGCAGTTTCGGCGAGGACCAGGGGCCTCGGCAGGGAGCGACCTTCCTGAAGTGCAAGCTGGACGAACGAAATGTCCGCTTCTGGGACACCGACGGCGGCAAAATCCAAAGGCCTGAATCGCTGGCGGGCTGCGAGTGCCAGGCCCACGTCGAGCCCCGGCAGGTCTGGATCATGGGCAAGCAATGCGGCCTGGTGCTGGAGGTCCGCGACCTGCTCGTAAAGCCGGGCACTGGCGGGGAGTCTTGTCCCTTCTAAAGCTGAGTTATAGATATAGGCTCCGGCGGCCTTGATAGAACAGCGAGGCCCCGGGCATCACCAGGGACATCTGGCCTCGAAACGACAGTAGGGTCGGAAACCGCGTTCTTTTAAATTCTGTCAGACTAGCATTCGGATTCAATCACACCCACAGCATGATGCACGGTTTGACATTTCATGAAACCGATTGCCATACAGGCTCCAACTTTACTGGAGGTAAAAGAACCGCTGCCCGCTCGACATGGTAGCGGAGCCGGTGCTGTAAGACCTGCCCTTGAGCAGGCAGCCCGGCCAGGGAGAACCACGACGGCCCGATCAAGGACCTCGACCACCAGGAGAGCAAAAGTGCCCTGGCTACCGATCCTCCTGCTGCTGGGCACGATCGCAGAAAGCTCTGGAACAGATCCGAGCTGGACCCAGGAGGTTGTCAACATCGGTGGGCCTCAATTCGAGTTTGGTGGTCGGTGGAAAGTGAGAAGATTGGAGGTACAGCCGGCGCAAGTCAGCTGCGACCTGGACGACCTAGGTGGCCTTGAGAAGTATAGGTACAAGGCGGACTATACGGAGGTGAAGAGGATCTATTTGCAGATCTTTTCGGAGGTTGTAAAGCGGACCTTCATCGCGATGGCCGAGCAGCTTCAACAGATCAGAGAGGTGCTGGATGGCCTGACCCGCAGCCAGGAGCAGAATCAGTGGGCCCGGAACGTCAAAGGGCCGGAGGTCTTCAAGGCTGACACCCGCGAGAGCGAGTTGAAGCAATGGGAGGACTGGAAATTTACTTTGGAGAACTGGGTCAAAGCGGTGGACCCAGAGATGTACCTGGACATGAAGCGGGTGGCCCAGAACGCGGAGGAAGCGATCGACTGGAACGAGCTGAGCGATGTGAGAAAGGTGAAGAGCTTGAGGCTCTTTGGAGTGCTGGCTTCGTATCTGCGGGGCCGGGCACTCAAGCTCATCAAGCACACGCCAGAAGAGAACGGCTACGAAGCATGGAGGCTGCTGCTGAGAGACATGCAGCCGAGCACAAGGCAGAGGGCATTGGCTTTGATGACCCAACTGTCGAGGATCACCTTCGCCCCGAACAAGTCCATCATGGAGCAGCTCCCGGCCTACGAAGCCCTGGTCAGGGAGTACGAGAGGGTCTCGTCTCAGGAGTACCCTGAGGACCTGAAGGTTGCATCAATCCTTTCCGCCTGCCCTGTTGGTGTGAGGACGCAACTGCAGATGATGGTGAACGAGGAGACGACGTTCGAGTCGCTGAAGGGACGCATCGAACAATACGAGGCGATCACTACGAAATGGAGCACGGAGAACGTGCTCGGCCTTCCCAGTCAGACGACCATGGAAGGTCCGACCCCGATGGATGTGGACTACATCGGCGGCTATCAGAAGGGCAAGAAAGGCAAGGGAAAGGACGGCAAGGGCAAGTACGGCAAGGGCAAGTCCAAGAAGGGACAAAGCTACAACGACTTCAAAGGCAAGGGCAAGTCCAAAGACGAGAAGGGCAAGTCCAAAGCCAAGGGCAAGCAGGACCGAGGCAAGGGCAAAGCCAAGGAGCAATGCTGGAACTGTGGGAAGCCAGGCCACAGATCCAGAGAGTGCTGGGCCCCAAGGAACATCAACCAGGTGGAAGGAGATTGGGCCAGCTATCCTGCTTCACCGCTGGCATCGGGTACTACCGGAGGTGGATCTACGTCAGGTGGAGTAACAAGTGCGGCGAGCTCATCAGCGAGCACGGCGACCGTCAGGATGATCAGGCTGGTCACGCCGCCCGACATGAATGAGACGAGGATGTTTGACCTGACCGCTGGAGAAGACGAGTTCCTGGGGATGATCCAGGAAGTGGACGATGGGCCATACTACGATGCCTACGAGCCCGCGGTAGAGGAGATTGGAAAGGCCACGGTGGTGGCTATGGACTTGCAGGACGGCAACTTTGAGACGGAGGACGAGACCTACCAGGTGAACATGGTGACGAATGAAGAGATGGATCATGGGTGGTCCAAGGTGTTGATGACGGTGGACTCCGGAGCGGACATTTCAGTCCTACCGGAGGAGTTTGCTGGAGTTGGAGAAGAAGCCCAGAGCGGTGGACAAATCATCATGAAGGACGCTCAGGGCAACATCATCCAGCAGAGCGGAACGAGAAAGGTGAATTTTGCCATGATGGGCAAGGACGGTATCCCGGTGAACTTTGTTGAGAAGTTCATCGTGGGAAAGGTGAAGCACCCCATCCTATGCGCTGGACGTCTCCTTCGCAGTGGCTGGGAGATGAGAAGAAGTGAGGATGGGCTGAACCTCTGGCACAAGCAAGGCGTGGAGATCCCATTGGAAATGAGGAAGAACAGCCTGCAGGTCGTGGCGGAGATCTGCTCGGTGGAGGCTGAAGACAACGAGCACGAGGAGGAATGGAACACGGTGGAGGTTTGCGCGCTCGAGGGCTTCCTGGGCGCGAGCTTCAAGGAGCTGGAGAAGACCCCCGGCTGGCACGTACTGCCAAATGGCCTGGCGGCCTACAGTGATCCGGTGGCTACGCAGTTGCTGGACCCGTCAGGCACCTTTGAGTGGAAGGCGAGGATGACCTTCATGAAGACCAAGGATGGCAAGTGGATGCAAGTCGAGAACGTGAGCGACTACACGGAGCTGGGGAACATGGCGTTTAGGCGTTTTGGCCCCACAGAAGATCCGCAAAGGACCATCACCGTGGTGGCCCCGGCGAAGATGAAGGACTACTTCGAGGTGGACTCAGAAGTCCCGGTGGCACCATTCCCCACTACGTTCAGGGAGCTCCAATCAGATGAGCTGGGCTGGTCAGACGAGGAAGTCGGAGTTGGAAGTGAGGAGATGATGCGAGAAGCGCCAGCAGAAGGTCATGAGGACGAGGCAGCAGCTGAGGAGCGCGCTGGACAATCAGGTACAGCCTCGACAACTCCCTGAAGGAACTGCGAGAAGGGTGTGAGAGGCATGGCCTGCCTACCTCAGGGAGCAAATCCAAGCTGCTCATGAGGCTGGACAACTTCAGGATGGACCTCGAGGCCAAGATGCAGACAGAGATTGCGAGAAAGCTGTACCGCGAGAAGGAGCGGAAACCTGTGTCTTTGGGCATTCCAAAGAGGCCATCTCTGGAGCAGCAGAACGAGCACAACCTCACGCACTATCCTTTCGCCGGTTGGTGCCAGGCCTGCCTCAGCACGCGAGCAAAGGAGGAAGTCCACAGGAGAGACGCCCGGAAGGACGTGGAAAGCACCAAAACGGTGATCAGTTTCGACTTTGGCTACACCTACGTGGACGACTACGGCAACGAGAGAAGCCCAGAGGAGGTGAAAGATGCGGATGATCAGTACGGCACTGTGCTGTATATCGCTGATCATCACACGAAGGCGGTTCATGCAGTGCCGGTGCTGAGCAAGGGAGCCCCCAACCTCAAGTTGATGGTGGAGGAGCTGGTCAGGTTTGGCATGCAGGTGGCTGGAGGAGACCCCGTGATTTATCAGAGCGACGGGGAGAGGTCAACAAAGCAGCTTCTTCGAGCTGTTCAGCATTGCAGGGCCAACCTAGGCCTGGAGACCGAGATTCGCATCTCAGGAGTGCAGCAACATGCCTCGAACGGGCAAGCAGAGAGGACAGTGCAGAGTGTGAGAAGGCTGGCAAACTGCCTCAGGTACTACGCGGAGGAGCAGGCCCAAGTGACGATTTTGGGCAACTCGCACGTCTACCCATGGAGCTTCAGACATGCTTCATGGTTGATCAACCGGTACCGCGTGCTGGAGAAGGAACGGAGGACGAGCTTCGAAGTGTGGTCAGGAAGAAGGTACCAAGGCAAAATCTGCCTGTTCGGGGAGAGCGTCATGTATCGCCATCTCACGGCGTTCAAGGGCGAGCCCAGGTTTGGAAGAGGCATCTGGGTTGGAAAATCACCCTGGACAGATTGCCACATCGTGCTCACACCAGGCGGTGCTGTGGAGTCAAGGACTGTGAAGCGGATCCCGGATCAGTTCATCGGCACCGACCTGGTGATTGTGAAGGGACTGCCCTGGAACTACTCCGCCTCCGGGGTGCTCATGAAGAAGACAGGGCCACGAAAGAGGATCGCAGTAGCAGCTGATGAGGCAGAAGAAGGCGAGAAGATCGAGCTGGACAAGGCTGAGGAGCAGATAGAGGAGAAGAAGGCAAAGGAGGCTTCTGCTGAGCGACAGGCACGAGAAGCTGGGATGGCAGTGGCTCTTGGGCTGGCTACCCCAGGACTCTTCGGAGGAGGACAAACCCCAGCCAAGACTGGGTTGATCACCCCGAGGTTTGCGGAGAAGAGGAAGGCCGAGGAGCCCGATGAGGAAGGCGACCCAACAGCCACATCAAGCTCATCGGCACGAGCCCCAGCAGAAGCAGCAACAGCAGCAGCTCGACCAGAGCCCTGGGTGTTGAGGCAGATGCCTCCACCCCCAACAGCGGTGATGAGTGACCCGGGAGGTAGGAAACAGGAAGAGGAGGAAGAAAGCGCAAGAAGGGCGAAAGCCATGAGGAGATCAGAGGAGGCAGCATTCCATGGAGCTCGAAGGCCAGGTGAAGATCTCAGTGGGGAGGAGTCACCGGCAAAGAGGAGAGGAGTTGATGAGTT